CAGCAATAAATGTCAAATTATTTTAGTTTATTTAAATAAAATTAATCTGACTCTTGTTCTCCATCTCATTGGGATTTGGGGAAATTTAATTTCTCATCTTCCCTAAGGCTCTGTCTCTTTCCCTACCATTACATAAAATGCCAAGAGGCTTATGTGATACTTAGACAATGAGATGAGGCCTTCTGATTTTGAAATGTCTGGATATAGACATCCTTATTATCCAAGCCCATGTAGCTCCTTGAAGGTGGAATGCTTTGCTGCAAGCTGGGAATGGGGGTCTTTTTGGGGCCTTTGCCTAGACCCAGAGCCCTAGTGCCCAGAATTCTTCTTCCCTAGGTGCTCTGCACAACCATCCCCTGCTGAGGACTGTCAGGGAGCACTTCTTCCTTCCACCACTCATGGGATCCTTGATTTCTATCACTTTATCAGTGTGTGGGACTATTTCCTCCCCTTTTCTGTTTCCAATGGAAGACCCCTTTTCTACTAGCATAATCATGGCTAACTTGAGGAAGAAAAATGTTAGAGGCTACTTTTGCCTTTTTACTGTCACATAAACCTCCCCTGAGGCAAGAGATCATTTCAGATCTCTTGGAGAAGAATGAGTATGGGCTGTGTGTGTGTGTGTGTGTGTGTGTGTGTGTGTGTAGTAGGGGGTTATGTCTAGTGTGTGGGGAAATAGAATGTGGGGTATCCTACACAAAACACCAAAACAAATCAACATGTCAATAAATTATTTTACAAAACAGTTTACTGTCAGTGTGATTTTTTTTTTCCCATTAACTGATTGTATTCCCTGGGAATCAGAAGACCTGGCACTTATTATATATGTGGCCTTGGGCACTCACTTACCTTCTCTGAGTGTGTGATCTAGTCACTAGAATGGAGTAATAAAGGCTGTCCTGCCTAGTCGACAATACTGCTATTATATGCAAATGACAGAAGATAAGGAAATATTCTGTAAGTTGTTACTATACTATAAAAATATAAGGACTTTTGGTTTTGTGAATTTGTGGCAAGAGAGAAATTTCTCACTATGATTTTAAAGTAATAAAAAAAACCCTTCAAGGGTCACAAATAATTTCCATTCACATTGTGTAGTGAAAACATGTCACATGGCCATGTCTATATTTAGGAGGGCAAAAATGGAATTCTCCCATGTGTCCAGAAAGTGAACATGTAACAATGTGTTAGGGAAATATTGAGCATCTACTACATGAGGGCTACTATGTAAGAAACATTATCTACCTTATCTCTAATTCTAAGAATATTATAAAATAGGCACTATTTCAGGTGAGGAAGCTGAGGATCAAAATTTAAGTAACTTAGTAAATTACAGAGCCAGGATTTGATCCTCATCTGACTCAAAGGTCTGGGTTCTTTCCTTTGGATCACATACTTCCTTTTTTTCTGTAGTTTTGTTAGCCACATGTGACTTGTAATGAAAGATTTACATTTAGGTTAATAATTATCAATTGGTCAAAAATAACTAATATTTACTGGGCATTAGGAGCTCCAAGCTCACATCTGGGTCTTGTTTTTCTCATTGTTATGAAGGGGTCTGGGGCCTGTAATTTGGGGGTTGGTAGATGATCTTTGAGGTACTGTGAAAATTAATTTTAAGTTTCAACTTCACTGGGCCATGGAATGCCCAGATATTTGGTAAAACATTATTCTGGGTGTGTCTGTGAAGGTATTTCTAGATAAGATTAACATTTAAATTGGTAGACTGAATAAAGTAGGTTGCCCTCCCTAATGTGGGAAAACCTGAATATAACAAAAAGGCTGAGCCTCCCCTTAGTAAGGAGAAACTCTTCTTGCCTGAGTGCCTTGAGCTGGGACATCAGTTTTTTTTCTGTGTTCAGATGAACTGAGATGTTGGTTCTTCCTAGGTTTTGCGACTGCTGGCATTTGCTTGGAACTACACCACTGGCTCTTGTGGGACTCTGTTTTGCTACCTGCAGATTTTGGAACTTGTTACCCTTCATAATAGTATGAGCCAATTCCTTATAATAAATCTCTTTCTACACACACATACACCCACCCACACCCCTTATTGCTTCTATTTCTATGGAGCACCCTGACACAAAGAACTCTGAGATTGTGTGATTATGAAATTCAGCAGTAACAAGGAAGAGTTGATGTTTACAGGGAGAGGTTCAGACTCAATTCTCTTTTCAGTCAGCATTTTATTGAGGATGCTTAATGTAATCTTTACATTAACATTTACACGTTGTCTTATCATATGTGTATTAAGTGGTTGTTACCACTAGGATGACAATTGACCACATGTTTGATTTAAAAAAAAATTTTTTTCCTGAAAATACTGGCTGTCAGTATGGATCAGTGTCATCACTTTTCAGGCAACATTTGGCTTACCTTACCTAAAACAAGTCACAAAAAATTAAGAACAGAAAGATTGATTCTTTTCCAAGTTTTATATTTTCTTCTGACAACTATTCTGCAACCCCAGGCATAGATTAATGAATGGAGTATGCACAAAGTGGTATCAGCTCACATATATGACATTACTCAGATGTCTCCAACTCCGGAAAAAGCATGTGAATGATTTATGGAATTGATATTAATCTCTTTCCAGTAAATGCATTACTTCAGATACATGGGAAATTGATGTTACTATTCTAATGCCAAATTAATTTCTTTCTTGCTGGATCAGCATTGTAAATGGAATTAGATGTTAACCTTTTATACATCTAAACAGGGTAAAATATGGAAACAATTTTATAAGTAAAATTTGGATGCTCATTGCTGAAGGGAAGGGTATGCTTTCTTCTTACTGAGATTTGTGGATCCTGGGATATTGGATCATATTTAAAGTATAACTTAATATCATTTAGGAATAGAATGATTATAATTGAATCTGAATATTTAACACAGGACTATAAATAACAGTATAGCAAATGAAAATTATATGTTATTAAAGATAACCCAAATTCTAAAGAATGAGACTGCTTTTCAAGGGAAATTTTATCCAAGAATTATCAGTCACTAATAAATATTTTTAATCCAATAGGCATAAACGAAACTGGAAAATTATCAGGCTAACCTCTTCCTCCTTTTATATATGCCTGGGCCGGTATGATCTTGAGTTTGTTTTCCTTGTGTTCCCTGCTTGTTGTGCCTTTCACTTGCCATAGTGTTGATTTTGGCCTGCTCGACATTATCTAATAAACTCAGTCTTATATTTTAATTCTAAATTATCATTTAGAATGATAATTTTCATTCTGAAAATGTTATTGGTTCAGCTTGGGTCTGGTCAGTTGTGGTTAAAGAGGGTAATAGTCTTGGGTATATAGGGCTTCTTTTTAAGGGCTGTGGGTAGTATAGATTCTCCAAGAAGGGGCTGTAGGTGGAGGGGAAGTGATAGACATCTCTTACATAGTTGGGTTTGCAAGACTGCAGTGGATTTTCCAGCTTGACGGATCTCTGATTTTGTGGACCAGCTGCCATGCATACCTTTACTCTTCCTGGCTCGCAGCAGTTAGATATACTGCTGATGGGCCTTGCCTTTCATCCCAATACACCTTATCTCTGAGCCAATCTTGACCAGAGGATAATGTCTGTGATTAGTATCAGAGTTGCTGCCAACTATCAACTAGTTGCTGCCTTGCTATCTGATGTGCAAGGGACAAAACCTGGTCCCTAGTTTATAAGTTGTAGAATTTCTTGCGTTATTTCCATTGGTATAGTCTTTAGAAATGGGTTCTTTTTTGATACCTAGTTTTTTGTGCCATAGTTTTACCTAGCTTAAAATCTTAGAATTATTATCTCTTTAAGCCTGGGGTATTGCCTTGAGCCCTTGCCCTCTTGATGGGAATCTGGGCGGGGTGGCCTAATTTTCACCATGTCTATATCCAAATTTACTTTTTATTTTCCCAATCACTGTCTGGGATCCAGATGTGAATAGGCGGATTTCCCTGGACCACTAAGTGGCAATCATGCTTGGTTTCCATTACTGCCTGCAGATAGACCTTTTGGATCCTTTTCCACCTGAAGTCATGGCTGAGCATTTTATGGTTTTTGAGCACTATCCTTCAGACTTTCTGGCTTTCCTCTATGGGATCATTATCTACTGACCCAGCTCTGGATCCTGAAAGAATACTTTGTGACAGTATGACTAATTGCATCTGTAAAGTGGTACAGGTAACAGGGGTGGTAGTAATAGAAAGTTGATGTTTGCCCTATCTTTGTTTCAGTATTTTTGTACCATTTGTTTCCACAGAGAATTTTGATCTAGGATTTCTGCTCTTTATTCCCTATTCTGGATGACTTTTGGTAGCACAGCACCAAGATATACCCTTCAATGGTTTTATTTCTTTTGGTCCTGCATTATATTTGTACAGCACTTGCCAGGAGGTAGAGGAAGGTGTGGGATGGGAAGAAGAGGAAAAGATATATCTGACATAGCACTTGCCCTCAGGAAAACTTAAATCCCAGTGAAGGATGTAGTGCATATCTATCAATAATACCAGGGAGTAAATCAAGCAAGGGAGAGAAGGATTGGATCCTTTCTCATTAATTCCTCAAATATTTATTGAGTGTCCACCTGTTCAGTTCTGTTTAGGCAGTGGGGACTCAGAGGTAGCTAAGATTGGATCCATGCCATCAAGGAGTTCACAGTCTGATGGGAGATTCAGATAACTGCACTAAAAAGCTACAGGGGCTGATAGTATTCAAGTCACCATCATCTCTTATCTGACTGTTCTTTAAATACACTATGCATGCTCTTACCTCAGGGCCTTTCCACTTCTATTGCCTGGAATGCTTTGCCCCCAAGATATTTACATGGTACATCTTTCACTTCATTCAGGTCTCTGATAAAATGTTAATCATATCAGGGAGGTTTTGCTGGCTACACTACTAGTATAGTACTCTCTTTTCATCTCTCCCATTCCTCTTACCCTATTTTATTTTTGTTCTTAGCATTTATATCACCAGATTTGTTATTTATTTATTTATTTATTTATTTATTTATTTATTGCATGACAAAGTCTTTACTTTCAAATGATTATCAGTACACCAAGTAAGAACATGTATACAAGAAGTTCTTGAATTCTATCATCTAATAATTTTGGGTAAGAGAAACTAAGAGCAGCCCGATCAATATATACTAGTATTCGCTGTTCCACCCTTAGCCGAGAGGACTTAAGGCCAGCTACTGCTTCACACAAGTTACAGTAACTATTTACTACTTTTTCATAGAGAAAGCCCCTGACCTTCAAGAAAGCTTTAGGGGAAAAAAATATTTAATCCCTTTCTTTCTTTAAACAGTTTTTTTTTTCCTACATCTAAGAAAGAAAAAGTATTGATACATATGTTGCTTGAACTAAAAGGCATAGGAAAACAGACAACGTATACACATTAAATTTCTAAGAAACATGAGGTAAAAGGAGAAAATCTTTGGATACGCTCTACGTTTGTACAAAGAAGTTAGATTTGCTATTCTCCAAGAAGTGAAGGGACCTACTACGTGATACACAAAAATAATTTAATGCCTTTTCACAAGGATGTAACTACTCAAGCTTTGCTGAAGCTTCGTATTCCATGAAGGCATCTAACATGCCAATCTGCACGCAGAGCTGCTCCTTCCTCCCCTATCCATTTATGCGGTAGTTTTCATGGATTTCTGGCTGGATGTCACAGACAAAGGCCAGCAGGTTATCCAGGACTTCATCCCTGTTCTGCTGGAAGTAGGCCTGGAGGATGGTCATCTTCTCCTGGGTCTCCTTCTCCACTTCGGTGCTGCAGCTGCCATGGGATCCCAGAGCCGCAGCTTCCTTGGCCTTGAACTCCTTCTCTCTTTGCAGACGGTATTGTTCAATTTCAGCCTGAGCTTCTTCTTTGGCCTGCTTCAGCCTCCGGTTCTTTCGCTTGCGGGCCTCCGACACTTTCTCGGCGGCCCGCTTCTCGGCCTGCAGCAGCTGCTGAATGCCCTGCGACTGGCTAGCCATGGCTGCGGCGACTGTAAGCTGTTATATATTTATTTTTAAATTTGATTATTACGTCTCCCCCTCTAGAATGTAAGTTCCATGAAAACAGGATTGTGTCTGTATTTTTGAGTGCTTTATATTCTCAGCACGTAGTGTGCTGTCTTGTACATAATGGGTGCTCAAAAAGTACTTGTTCATCGAGTAAGAGAATGAATAAATTAATGAATCAAGTACAAGTTAGTAAAATCTGTATAGGGTGTGATAGAGTTACCAAGGAGGGAGTGGTCATTTTTACCTGTAGGCAAGGGGTGGTGTCAGGAAATGTGGTCTGAAAATGGAATGGGCTAAGGGTAGACAGTTTGTCATGTGATGCTGGCACGTGCCTTTTCAGAGGTATAGTTGATGAAATAATACTCCAGAGTTTGTAGCAGGAGAATATGTCTTAATTAAGAGGTGCTTTTAAGTCTTATCCTAGTGATGCGACATTCTATACTAATAAAATTTTCAGTTTTATTTTTTTCTGTATCTTCATACACTTTTTAATGCCTTCTGCCTACTAGTAAGTAGTAGTCATGAGCTTTTTCACTGGGTTGTGGGTTTCTTGAGGTAGGCAGAGACCAGGGTTTATTTGTGTATCATCAGATCATCAGAGCCTGACACAGTGGTTGGTAATTACTTTGCCAGGAGTATTTTTTTTTTTTAAAGATTTATTTATTTGAGGGAGAGGGAGGGAGAGTGAATGAGTGCTTGAGCACAAGCGGGGGAGGAGCAGAGGCAGAGGGAGGGGAAGAGAGAATCTTAAGCCGACTCCCTGCTTAGAGTGGAGCCTGAGACAGGGCTTCATCCCAGGACCTGAGATCATAACCTGAGCCCAAATCAAGAGTCAGACACTTAACTGACTAAGCCACTCAGGTACCCTGCTTTTTTTTGTTTGTTTGTTTAATAGAAATTAATTATAGTTCCCTTGGAGCTGGAACATTCTAGAATTCTCTGATTCTCCCTTAGCCTGATACTTCTATAGCTATTGTTTAAGATTCTTGCAGATGATGCACTTTTTTGGTCCATTAAATCTTATAGTTCTAGCTTCTTGCCCATATCTTTCATCTGGGAGATGTATATATCTACTTTTCTCATTGCACATTATAATGATTTATTTACATGTAGATTTTCAGCTGTTGGAGGACAAAGACTTCTCTTAGACTCTCTCTTTCTTATAGCATATCTTGGTATAGTATCTGGCACATAGTAGCTCTCCAGTAAATGTGGAATGAATGAAGAGAAAATTAATTAGTCTAAGGGTAGAAAATTAATATTTATCAAGGAAACCCAGAAGAAAGAGAAAAGATGGTTTGTGTAACAGGATAAGTGATACATTTTAAACACCTTAGTGTTGCATGCTCAGATACTTCAATATTTTTCCTAATGTCAACATTCCTGTGATAACCATTTAGCCCAGTGCCCGATTCCTTCATGTCAGTGTTCTAGGTAATGTGGAGCCATTTGTGAATGATCTTGCACTGTTTTCTTCTTAGCCTTGCACCTGTGTGTCATTGTTCCGTAGGTGGGAAAAATGTTGATAAATGCATCTATTTCAGTACATGTAAATATATTTAGTGTATCATCATCAACATGTCATAGCTGTCTGTCTCCATGTTCATGCATATAGCCTTGTGGCTCCTGTTCTTAGCAGCCCCAGAATGTAGGTGCTAGTAGCTAGCAGTTGTGCTTAGAGGGTCTCCTATGGATATTTCTCCCTTCTGTTCCACCTCGGATTTACTACTGTGCCCAAAAAATCAGAATTTAGCAAATGTTTGTTATGAGTGTTTTAGCAGTATGACAGAAGGGGAATGATTATAATTGAAGCAGCACAATGGAATATTCCTTCAATGTCTATGTCTATAGGTGCCAATTTTTCTATTTTTTTTTATATTATGTTATGTTAGTCATAATACAATACATCATTAGTTTTTGATGTGGTGATCCACAATCCATTGTTTTCGTATAACACCCAGTGCTCCATGCAGTACGTGCCCTCCTTAATACCCATCACTGGGCTAACCAATCCCCTCTCTCCCTTCCCCTCTAAAACCCTATTTGTCTCTCAGAGTCCATGGTCTCTCATGGTTCATTTCTCCCTCCAATCCCCCCCCCATTTCTCCCTTCCTTCTCCTAATTCTTTCCATGCTATTCCTTAGGTTCCACAAATAAGTGAAACCATATGATAATTGACTTTCTCGGCTTGACTTATTTCACTTAGCATAATCTCCTCCAGTCCCATCTATGTTGATGTAAAAGCTGGGTCTTCATCCTTTCTGATGGCTGAGTAATATTCCATTGTATATATGGACCACATCTTCTTTATCCATTCATCTGTTGAAGGGCATCTCGGCTCTTTCCACAGTTTGGCTATTGGGGACATTGCTGCTTTGAACATTGGGGTGCATATGGCCCTTCTTTTCACTACATCTGTGTCTTTGGGGTAAATGCCCAGGAGTGCAATTGCTGGGTCATAGGGTAGCTCTAGTTTTAAATTTTTGAGACACCTCCACACTGTTTTCCAAAGTGGCTGTACCAACTTGCATTCCCACCAACAGTGTAAGGGGGTTCCCCTTTCTGCACAACCTCTCCAACATTTGTTGTTTCTTTTCCTGTCAGTTTTTGCCATTCTAACTGGTGTAAGGTGGTATCTCAATGTGGTTTTGATTTGAATTTCCCTGATGGCTAATGATGATGAACATTTTTTCATGTGTCTGTTAGCCATTTGTATGTCTCCTTCAGAGAAGTGTCTTTTCATATCTTCTGCCCACTTTTTTACTTGATTATTTGTTTTTTGGGTGTTGAATTTGAGAAGTTCTTCATAGATCTTGGATACCAGCCCTTTATCTGTAGTGTCATTTGCAAATATCTTCTCCCATTCTGTGGGTTGTCTCTTTGTTTTGTTGACTTTGCTATGCAGAAGTTTTTATCTTGATAAAGTCCCAAAAGTTCATTTTTGCTTTTGTTTCACTAGCTTTTGGAGATGTATCTTGAAAGAAGTTGCTGTGGGTGATGTCAAAGAGGTTACTGCCTATGTTGTCCTCTAGGATTTTGATGGATTCCTGTCTCACATTGAGGTCTTTCATCCACTTTGAGTTTATCTTTGTGAATGGTGTTAGAGAATGGTCGAGTTTCATTCTTCTGCATGTGGCTGTCCAATTTTTCTAGCACCATTTATTGAAGAGACTGTCTTTTTTCCATTGCATGTTTTTTCCTGCTTTGTCAGAGATTATGTGACCATAGAGTTAAGGGTCCATATTTGGGTTCTCTATTCTGTTCCATTGGTCTATATGTCTGTTTTTGTGCCAGTACCATGTTGTCTTAGTGATCACAGCTTTGTAATATAGCTTGAAATCGGGCAATGTGATGCCCCCAACTTTGTTTTTCTTTTTCAACATTTCCTTGGCGATCTGGGGTCTTTTTTGATTCCATACAAATTTTAGGATTTTTTGTTCCGGCACTTTGAAAAATGTCATTGGAATTTTGATCAGGATGGCATTGAAGGTATAGCTTGCTCTGGGTAGCATAGACATTTTAACAACGTTTATTCTTCTGATCCATGAGCATGGAATATATTTCCATCTTTTTGTGTCTTCTTCAATTTCTTTCATGAGTGTTCTGTAGTTTTTAGAGTATAGATCCTTTACCTCTTTGCTTAGGTTTATTCTGGGGTATCTTATGGTTTTTGGTGCTATTGTAAATGGAATTGTTTTTCTAATTTCTCTTTCTACAGTTGCATTGTTAGTGTATAAGAAAGCAACTGATTTCTGTGCATTGATTTTGTATCCTGCCACATTACTGAATTGCTGTATGAGTTCTGGTAATTTGGGGGTGGAGTCTTTTGGGTTTCCCAAATAAAGTATCATGTCGTCTGCGAAAAGAGAGAGTTTGACTTCTTCTTTGCCAATTTTAATACCTTTATTTCTTTTTGTTGTCTGATTGCTGTTGCTAGGACTTCTAGTACTATGTTGAACAATAGTGGTGAGAGTGGGCATCCTTGACATGTTCCTGATCTTAAGGGAAAGGCTCTCAGCTTTTCCCCATTGAGGATGATATTCGCTGTGGGTTTTTCATAGATGGATTTTATGAACTTGAGGAATGTTCCCTCTATCCCTATACTCTGAAGAGTTTTAATCAGAAAAAGATGTTGTATTTTGTCAAATGCTTTTTCTGCATCAATTGAGAGGACCATATGATTCTTCTCCCTCCTCTTATTAATGTGTTCTATCACATTGATTGTTTTGTGAATGTTGAACCACCCTTGCATCCCAGGGGTAAATCCCACTTGGTCATGGTGGATGATTCTTTTAATGTATTTTTAGATCCTATTAGCTAGGATTTTGTTGAGGATTTTGGAATCCATATTCATGAGGGATATTGGTCTGAAATTCTCCTTTTTGATGGGGTGCTTGCCTGGTTTGGGGATTAAGGTAATGCTGGCCTCATAGAATGAATTTGGAAGTTTTCCTTCTGTTTCTATTTTTTGAAACAGCTTCAGTAGAATAGGTTTATTAATTTGCGTCCTTTCTCTTTTCTTTTGGATAAGTCTGGCCAGTGGTTTATCGATCTTATCAATTCTTTCAAAGAACCAACTTCTAGTTTCGTTGATCTGATCTACTGTGTTTCTGGTTTCTAATTCATTGATTTCTGCTCTAATTTTAATTATTTCTCTTCTAATGCGTGGCTTAGGCATCATTTGTTGCTTTTTCTCTAGTTCTTTAAGGTGTAGAGTTAGTTGGTGAATTCGGGATTTTTCTATTTTTTTGGGGTGAGGCTTGGATGGCTATGTATTTCCCCCTTCTGACTGCCTTTGCAGTATCCCATAGGTTTTGGACCAATGTGTTTTCGTTCTCATTGATTTCCACGAATTATTTAAGTTCTTCTTTGATTTCCTGGTTGACCCAAACATTGTTGAGCAGAGTGGTCTTTAGCTTCCAAGTGTTTGAATTTCTGCCAAATTTTTTCTTGTGATTGAGTTCCACTTTTAAAGCA